TTGGTTAATTACTTATTTCATGTCGACTTGCCTAGCAAGTGGATGTTATGCGTCATCACGATCACGAGGTTGGGATTTCGGGTCGTGACATTATCGTTGGAGTTGCAACCACTAGACTGCAGTTGGATAGCAGCAATGGCAAAGTATTTATAAGAGGATCCAACACCAAGGAAAACACTCCAGATCCATTTGTTGTTGTACTTGATACCACATTTCTTGCTCCACACTGCAATTGCACTGATGCATCTGCAAAGTTAAATGATGTTAATATTATTTACGCAATTAGATCAATTTCGCATTTTAGGAATATGTTGAAGATATAATTAATTATGTAAATAAAACGATATTATCTCACACCATTTAGACTTTTAGATGAAATGATAGCACAATTCAACAAACAAAAACTTCTTATGAATGTGATGAATGATTATTAATTATATAATCATGGGGCCATATGCAACTTATTGACCGGGAGTGTAGGATTCATTCGGCTCAAGTTACTAAATATTTATACCATCCTCACCAATTGTTACGAAAGGAATAATAGATACATTATCATTCTCTTAGACTTCAAATCATCTGCATACATTTTAAGAAAGTATACTTGTAGTTATCCTTTGAATGATCCGATAGTGTATATATCATAGGCTAATAACGCCACTTAGGACTTCTATCATAAACTTTTAGTGTATATATAGGATAGAGTTTTTAGTCTATATAGGGCACTGTGTGTATATATATATATATAGGTCTCCGTACAAAATAAAATACTTACTAGGGAAAACTTGGGTGGGGAGTCCGTTGATGACATCTAAATTGCCGCTAACGCTGCAAAATACAACCCCACCTATACGTATTGAAACAAGTTGGGCTACTGCAATGGGGGTTGCGATTAATGCAGCCAAAAGGAAAATCAAGAAATATTTTGCTGAAGCCATCGCAATTGTTCTTTGATATGTGATAGTTATTGCAGTAAAATATTGTGTTGCTCAATTAAGGTGTGTGCATGACCAATTTATAGTAAATATCATTGGCTGAAATTTCAAACCTCTAATCCACTTGTTCATTGCTATATTAGATGCTGGTGGTCACCCTGGCTATAACTACATACAATTTCTCCAAGCTTCAAGAATCAATAGCACGCCATTCTTTGACTTCTAAAAACTACTTATTTTTAAAGCACTTCTATCAAAATAGTATTTCAGAGAAGTGCTTTCGGAGAAAACAATTTATTTGGTAAATTTATTTGAGAGTATTTGATAAACATATTGTGTTTGATCAATTCAAAAATATACTTTTCAATGTTAAATTATAGGTGAAAAAAGTATTAAAATTCATTTTATAATTATTATTATTTAAATAGAGAAAAAGTTTTAAATAATTTTTATGTAAGACTTTAGTTATGTTTATTATAGAAATATATATAGATTCTTAATCAATTAACATATAGTTAAACAAAAATAGGGAATATGAGAAAAGAATATTATTTATATTTGAGAGAGATATGGAATTAACTTATGGGAGATAATTTGGTAAATATAATTATTTTGTAAGTATATTTTTATATTGAAAATTTTAATTTTTCTACTTTCGAGAAGTAGAAATGTCATGACCCGAAATTCCCACCTTCGGGACCGTGATGGTGCCTAACATTTCACTTGCTAAGCAAGCCAACGTTAGAATATAATTATCCATTTTAACAAAATTATAAATTAATTAATAGCAAAAAAACAAAAGCGAAAATAAAGTCTGAAATAAAGTAAATACTCCATAATAATTGTAATATCTAAATACCATCCCAGAACTGGAGTCACAAGTGCACGAGCTTATAGAATAATACAAATAAAGGTCTGAATAAAATTTAAGTTGTTTGAAATATAATACACAACTAAGATAAGATAGAAGGAGACTTCAGAACTGCGAACGCTGTACAGTTATACCTCAAGTCTCCACTGGTAGTTGTATCTGGGCAAATCTACAGTACGCCGATAGGACCAACTCCGAAATCTGCACAAGAAGTTCAGAGTATAGTATCAGTACAATCGATCACATATACTGGTAAGTGCCGAGCCTAACCTCGACGAAGTAGTGACGAGGCTAAGGCAGGTCACTTACATTAACCTGTACGCAATAATAGTAATAATAACAACAATAGAAATAAATCATGTAACTCATTTTAACAGTTGAAGCCAACTCAGCAGTCATAACCAATTATTATTTTCATCAATTTCCGTTGCGGCGTGCAACCCGATCCCACAATATATTCATATTCAATTCTGTTGTGGCGTGCAACACGCTCCTCCAATATATTCACTTCAACCAGTTCTGTTGCGGCGTGAAACCCGCTCCCCCAATATAAACTTTAAATAAGTCTGTTGCGGCGTGCAACCCGATCCCCCAATATATTTACTTTTATTTCCGTTGCGGCGTACAACCCGATCCCCCAATATATTTACTTTTATTTCCGTTGCGGCGTACAACCCGATCCCCCAATATATTTACTTTCATTTCTGTTGCGGCGTGCAACCCAATCCCCCAATATATTTTAATAGCTCATAAATGTAATAAAAATTACTTCAATAAATACCACGTTCAATGAGAAACTATTAAGCGCCAAGGCAAACAATAAGTATAATTTATTTATGAACAAACAATGACAATTAGCAATTAATTGTGAAAATCATGGAGAAAATAGGCAGTTTAATATTTAGTATGCTAAATGTCAAATAGAAATTAAGACACATAAGTCAAATAAGCATGTAACAATTATTGCAGGAATTCAAGAATTAATATTTGACAAGGAATATGAGTGAAATAATTCATATAATAATTAATTCATGATTTAAAATAATTTATGAATTTTCAAGTAATTATGCAAACAATTAATTTGATGACGTATAGACACTCGTCACCTTGCCTATACGTCATTCACATGCATCTCACGTAACAAATAATTTAAGGGTTCTATTCCCTCAAGTCAAGGTTAATCAGGATACTTACCTCGCTTTGCAACCAAGTTCAAGAATTCAATAAACCTTAGCCTCGCGAATTCGTGTCTGAAATCCTCAAATCTAGTCATAAACAATTCAATATACTCAATACAAATTGCAGGAATTAATTCCATATGAATTTACTAATTTTCCGGATTAAAATCCGAAATTTATCTAAAAAATCGACAGTGGGGCCCATGTCTCGAATCTCTGAAAAACTTATGAAATTCAAACACCTGTTTTGATACTTCAACCATACAAAAATTATCAAATTCCGATGTCAAATGGACCTATAAATCTTAAATTTTTGTTTTTGGAAAGTTTTATAAAAATTCTAATTTCCTCCATCTAAATCCGAAATAAATGATGAATACAATCATATAGTCATGAAATATTATAAACACTTTAGGATATAGAACACTTACCCCAATCCATATGGTAAAAATCGCCTCAAACATCGCTTAAATCCGAGCTCCATAGCTCCAAATATGTTAAAAATAGCTGAAACCTCGAAATATATCTACTGCCCAGGTATTTACTCATCGCGATAGCGAAGCATAAATTTTCTCAACCCAAAATTTGCCTTTCGCGATCGCGGAAAATGCTTCACGATCGCGAAGAACAAGTGCCCAGCTCTTCTAGAAAGCCTCTAATATAATGGTCATAACGTTTTGTACAAAACTCCAAATTGCAAATGGTTTAACTTTCTAAAAACTAGACACCAAGCGCTATAACTTTTATTTGTTGTTCATCTCCCAATTCCTTATAGATTGCGAGATATAAGCTTCCAAAGTTGGTCAGTGCAGCAGGATTTTCCTTTACGCGATCGCGACAAGGCTTCCGCGATCGCGATTCACAGTGTCCAAACAGCAAAATTGCTCTTTGCGATCACGACCGTTTGTCCGCAATCGCGATGCATACCTCTGTGGCTAAAAACCAGCAACTAAAAATGGCATAGAAATGGTTCGAAACTCACCCGAGCCACTCGGGACCCCATCCCAACATACCAACAAGTTTCAAAATATATTACGGGCTTAGTCGAAACCTCAAATCTCATCAAATAACGCTTAAACCACGAATCATACCCCAATTCAAGCTTAATGAAACTAAAAAATTTTAACTTCTACATTTGACGTCGAAACCTATCAAATCAAGTCTGATTGATCTCAAATTTTGCACACTAGTCATAAATGACATAACAGACCTATTTCAACTTCCGGAATCGGAATCCGACCATGATATTGTGCTTTTCACATAAAAACTTTCTGAAAAATTATGCTTACTACACACGCAAGTCGAGGGATGATAAATTGTGCTTTTCAAAGTCTTAGAAGACCGAATTAACTATTAAATTTAAAAATGACCTTTTGGGTCATTACAAGAAAATTATAGCTTCTCCTCAACGGTAGAAAAACTACTTCTAATACTGCTTAGAAGAACATTTAATTCTTGGTCAAACACCTCAAATCTCCAAAAAAAAAAATACTTTTCTAAAATATTTACTTTTCAGAAGCTTAGTCAAACAACCTACTTACGATTTGGGCACGAAATGGCCAAAACTTATAATAAAGTGGTAGCGATGATGTCTAGACAGTGTAAATCTATAATGTCACCTAGATCCCTTTATGTACTAATGAAAGAAGCTTACGGTGAGGGCAATGGTCTGGGCGGAAAACAGTCAGGTCTTAATATTTCACTTTGTTGGGTTCGGTCATCGAATCTCAAAGACTATGTATGACTCTTCAAATCTACGGGTAAAGGTCTTAGACCCCATAGATGGGCAAAGGTACTAAGTCGGGGGCCCCATGCCACATTCTGCCATATCCATAGTAATGTCAAATCATTAGCTTTGATACCAGTTGTTGGGCTAAAACGGCTCAAAGATATACTTAACATAGTGTAATATTGTACGTTTCGAACCAAGGCCGTACGGTTGTTTCCAAAAGGCCCCACACTATTAAAAATATTCAACTCATTATAAGTAATTTTTTTCTTTTTTACTTTTCATGTGAGACTTTATTACACACACCCAACATACTTTTACTAAAAATGAAAAGGTAAAAAAGAAGATACAGAAAGTATTTAGTCATACTTCACGATGTGTATATATATGGACCAAAGGATTCTCCTCACAATAACAAAGAGGTAGAATTCTTAAGCACGAGAACACTTCAAATTCCAAGAAAGAAGGGAAAAAACAGATTTGTATTTACGGTTATCCACCGTGGATTTGATAATTATTGCATAAAAAAAAAGTAAACATTTATGTGGACCATACTCCATAGAGATCTTGAACTTTTGGTTAAAAAGTAGTAAATTTTTTAGTAAATGTATGCCTTATATTGTGGAGTATTTAAATAACTTCTCTTAATGAAAAGATGAGTCAAATGGTTTCACGACCCAAAATCCAACTAGTCGTGATGGCACCTAACCCAACCCGCTAGGTAAGCCAACTTTCAACTATCCAATTCCAATAATAATTATTTAAAGTAATTTAAGTGAATAAACATCTTAATCTTATACATCCCCCAAGAACTGGTAGTATAAATCATGAGCTTCTAAGAATAGTGTATACAAAGCGAAAATAAAATAAATACATAGTCTGTCTGAATAATACATAAACAGAGCTTTTATAAATCTAAGGCTACCCTGAACAAAAGGCA